TGCACGTGTTATGAACAGTAAGTAGGCAAATGTTCCCCTTCTGATGATGAACTTTTATATTATTGAGGCAAAGGAAAAAGACAGCACAGATGTCCTTCGATACGTATTAACCACCAAAATTCCACTTCACTTCCCATCCAAAACGTTGTTCGCAAAGAATTTTGCCAAGTGTCTGCCAGATGGTATTTTTTGTCTGTCCCATAACATTTCAAAAAATTTGTTTCAAGTCCTAATTTGCTGATGGGGAAATTAAGGGTTAGGAGATTAAGTGATTCCTCCAAAGGTGATATGGCCGATAAGGGACAGAACTAACAGGATCACTATTGCGCCTAAAAGCTGTCTTAAATCTTCAGTCCAGAGAGAAGGAAGAGAGAGAAGGTAGGCAGGCAGAGGAAAGCCATGATCTGTGATGTAGGAGTAAGGGCATTGTGTTGGGATGTGAGAAATTCTCGTTTCCTTTCTTCACCTCATCAGTTGAGGTCGAGTGCTAAGCGTAATGCCTTACCATGGTAAGGACATGATGAGATTTAGGATTTACTATCTGATTTAAGTCTGACATTTACACTCCCAATTTTACCATTAAGGAAATGGGTTTTTAAAAAGATTAAGTAATCGTTTCAGACTCACAATCCTTGCAAATTACAGAGCCAGGATTAGAAACCGAAGCTATAATCCAGACCGTGGGTTTCGACTTGCTTCTTTTGTAATAATCCTTTAAAGGACTTTATCTGAGTTTACAGACCCTAAGCCCTAAGAAGATTATGATATGTCATCCTCCACGCACATTAATTCAAATTCAAACACTGCTAAGATACAGAGAGACCGATAAAGTTCTGATTTGACACTCATTTTCTTGAAACATCAAATATTGAATTATTTTAAATACTTTTTTTCTCCCTTTTTCTGTTTGACCAATTCCTTCCACTTTCGTGTAGTCAGCCTCTTCAGAAGCCCACGTCTGTCTCTACAGTCCCCAACTTAAATTGATCATCACCCTGTTGGAAGATTTGCACACCCCAGGTCAAGCAGACTGAAACCCACTAAAGATGAATGGAGTCCTGGGGACCTCTGCTGGCACCTACCACGAGCTTCCTGTTCACCCTTCTCAGCCAGTGTAGACGTGTTGACCATGCAATGGCTTTGCTGACTTTCCCTTGTGGTCTCTGCTCCCCTGCCTTTGACCTTTGTCTTCCTAAGAGTTGTTTGCCACATTTCTTCTGCCACACCAGTATGGGGGCATCAGTTTGGGAGACTGACTGCCCCCAGTTCCTTACTTAGTGTCTCACCATTTACCATCTGCATATATGGTCCTTCATTTGCCCTCTGGTCTCTTCTGTCACCTCTCCCTTTCCTAGAGTGGCTTTGCTCCGGGTCTGCAGTCCTATGGCAGCCTCGTGGAGAATCCCAGTAGGTTATTTTTCTACCCGCTGTGCTCTTCCACTCTCGTAGGGCTGGCCCAAATGGGCTCCGACAACGTTTTCCCATAGTGGAATTCAGGATCCCAGATCAAACACACTTATATCTTCATTTTACTTCACTGTTTAGAGAACAACCATTATTGACTATGTTTTGATAGTGGTTGTGGCCCATTTTGTCTACTTGCTGCCACATGCTGTCCGGCCAGGGAAATGAGGCAGATGCAAAGAGTAGATAATTATGGATTGTGAAAGCTGGGAGAAAGTTTATTTTTTCATTTTTTTCAAGTTTTGATTTTGTTCTCGAGAAAGAGAGAGAGAGCGTGAGCAGGGTAGAGGGGGAAAGAGGGAGAGAGAGAAAGAATCTCAAGCAGGCTCCACACTGAGCACAGGGCTCGATCTCACGACTGTGAGATCATGACTTGAGCCAAAATCAAGAGTTGGACGCTTAACCGATTGAGTCACCCAGGTGCCCCTAGCTGGGAGAAAGTTTACATTTATTTATTTTTTGAGAGACACAGAGAGACAGAACACAAGTTGGGGAAGGGCAGAGAGAGAAGGAGACACAGAATCCGAAGCAGGCTCCAGGGTCTGAGCTGTCAGCGCAGAGCCCGACGCGGGGCTCGAACTCACAAACCGCGAGATCGTGATCTGAGCCGAAGGTGGACGCTTAACCGACTGAGCCACCCCTGAAAGTTTAGATGGTTTTATAAAGTTCTCTGCTTTTACAGCTGAGAAAAATAGGGCTGACTCGATCAGATGTATACAACTAAATTTTAGGGAGCTTCAACACTGATATCCCGAAAGGCAGTCTGGCATCATTTATGCCGCCTAACAGCCTATGTTCCCTTCAGCAAGACAGTGACAAGTGTCATCTATAGTTGCTGTCCATCCTTCTTTCTACTTTTGGAAACCAGAACATATTTTTAGCTCCCCACAACCCCACTTCCGCCTCTCCAGACAAATGCATCAGTCCCCCACACCCCTCTTTCCAACACCCTCTCCCGGCCGAAATGAAATTAAAATATAGTAATACTTCAGCTTGGGTTTGGTTTCCAGAAAAACCAGCTCCTTTGGCCAGCTCCTTTGTTACCCACTCCAGGAAACATAATGCTTAATCCTTTTCGTGGTAGAAATATCAGACAGTGTGGCCAGTCTTTGAGGATGAGCTCTTTGTCAGAGAAGCCTTCCGATCACAAGTGATAATCGACCACACCCATTAACAGATCCTCAGCAACATAGTTACCAGCCCACGTGCACGGGGGCCCGGCCCCCCCCCCCCCCCCCCCTTAAGCATCTGGTGATACCACATGGACAGAGACAGGAGCGACTAGATGAAAACATTCCCCAAGCTTCAGTCGTGCGGTGTGGGCACCATCTCTAACTGGAAAGGAAGGAAAATGCCATAGCAGGGATAACACGCATGACCCTTCTCCCTCGTGCTCCCTCCACGATGACACCAACATGGGAGCACAGCTCAGTTTGTAAGTATAGCTTCCAAGTGACATTAGGGCAATTAGCAGGAAGACCGTGGAGAGAAGACTAATTTGCCCTTTATTCGGGGCATTTTTTTTTTTAAACTCTTTCTTTGACTTGAAGATGATATAGGGGGGAGGTGTCAGGCTACTATTTTCTTAGCCTTTACATTAAAATAGAGGGATCGGGGGACCAGTTATTAAATCAGTCTTCGGAGAAAAGACAATGATTTCTAGAAGCCTCGTTTCAGTGTGATTTCACGAAGAAAGGGTTATGCTTCAGTAGCTTGTTAAGAATTCTCTGAATTTCACTGTCACTTAATCAAAGCAACTGTAATGAAATTGCATACAATACAGCAGTGGGGCAATCACGCTGCTTTGTAACAAGTTTCTCTGTGTCAAATTAAACTTCATTCAAAGGGCAGAAGCATAGGATAGTAGCCAAGGGCAAGCAATGTGAGTAGTCCTGCAAACTGGCATGGAATCAGAGAGCCTAGAAGCTAAACTTCCCAACTCTGGAAACGATCTTCAAGACTCTGTCTGCGGGCCCCATGTTTTATAGTCAAAAGTTCCAGAAAGTTGGATTCACAGCCTTAGGACACACAGCCAGGACTGGAAATGAGATACTAACTCCAAGGACTTTTCCTACGGCCCATGCCTTCCTCTTTCTCAGTAAGAGCACATTCTAACCCCCTCCCCCAGGGGAGGAGACTCTCTAAGAGTCTTGGTACAGGATGGAACACCGTTGTTGTTGACATGAATGAGGTGAATAGTGATACTGAAAGCCGTAGTTTTCAGGTTGGTAAATTATACTACATAGTGTAACCTCGGCGAAGAATGACAGCAAGAATGGGAGGGACCCGGAAGCATTAAATTCAGGGCAGTAGATGCGATTAAGCAAAATTATGTGTGGAACTATTTGCTACTGAACGAAGAACAGAAATAAAATGCCAAAAAAAAAAAAAAAAAAAAAAAAAAAGGAAAATATGTTGCATCATACCCAGAGAAAATACTTGCATTGAGAGCTGTCCTGCCTCTAATTTGTTCTTACCGCAGTGTGGAGCTGTCTGGAAATTGTTAATTCTTGCTGTTAGTAAATTTAACTATATATAACTCTCTCTATATATATCTATATATAGATATACAGATACATATACATGCATATAAACAGATAAATAGACATATAGATAGATATATAGATATAGATATAGATATAGATATAGATATAGATAGATAAATAGATAATTTGGCGAAGCAATGAATGTTTTCTTTACTGAGGGTTCTTTTTGTCAGCAACGCCACCATTGAGAAGAAATTCCAAATTCTTTCTGCCTCAATGTTCCCCTCATTTTATCTTTCAACTGCAAACCATAGCAAGGACTCTGTGACCAAAATCCCTTATGTGATGCATGACAACAGAGGCCTCAGCTGGCGGTGACTCACCCAAGGGCTCGTGGCTGTTATGAGGTGTGACTGAGCAGGTGACGCATTGAGATGTGACAAGGACATACGTAAAGAGACACGGGGATGGACTTTTCTCAGAATCCTCTGCTTCTCAAGGGCTGGGCTTCTACAACCAGCTCAGATAAATCCCAGGCTGGCATGTCGTGGAGAATCGCTGTTATAACATCCAACTGACCCGTCTGTCCAGGCTTCAATCCCCCGACGACTGTCCCCAGTTATTTAAACAGCAAGCGCCAAAAGTTACCAAGACAAAGCAGACCCTCCAGGAAGAGGGGCCGGATATTACTTCTTCTGAGACCCAGTGTCCTTCCTACCATGACAGGCTCTCTGATGCCCAACACCCCCACCCCCATTCCTGTTTTACTTTCCCAGGGCTGCCTAAACCAATTCTCACAAACCGGGTGGCTTAAAAAACAGGACCTTACTGTCTCACGGTTCTGGAGGCCAGACATTAGCAATGAACGTGTCACCAGAGCCACGTTCCCCTGAAGCCTACAGGGAAGCATCCTTCCTCGCCTCTCCTCATGTCCAGAGTTTGCCAGGAGTCCCTGGCCCCTTGGCTGGCAGGTATACCCTTCCACCCCCCACCACTGAGCTTCCTGTCTCTCTCTCCTCCCGAGTGCCTTGGTCACTGGACGAAGGACTCACCCCCACTCCAACACGCTCCCTTCTTACCTTCACAGACCACGCTTGCGATGACCCTGTTTCCAAATAAGGCCACGTTCTGAGGTTCTGGAGGCTAGGACTTTACCGTATCTGTTCGAGGGGGTACGGTTCCACGTGTGATGGCGCCACACCTCTCTGGTGGCCCTCACCCACCGCGGGGTGTGGCCGTACCGAAACGCCACGCACCCTGCCTTCACAGGATACCCTGTTTTCTAGCTTGGCCAGCACTTCTGGTCACTTTTCGGCAGCCCTTTGCCCTGAGAAATCTGTACGTTCGCCAAGTGACGCCTCAAGAGGGCAGCGCAGAGGAGGGTCTGGACAGTCTTCAGATGCAAACTTGCACAAATCCACAGCTCATCCAGCAGCCGCTCTTGTTAAGAAACGTGGTTAGGTCCACCGCAGTCACATGACAGAGGCCACAGGGCAGAAGGCTTTCCGGAGGCACGTTCCGCCTGCCCGTTGGCCGTGCCCTGCAAGCAGGACACCTGCCCTGGGCTCCTCTCAGGTCAGCTGCGTGCAGCACGGCTCACGCTAACGGGCCACGCGTGGTGTGCCGGGGCCGTGCTGGGGTGGTCACTGAGCAGTGGTCGGACTCAGCCATTCCCCTCAGGGAGCCCTCAGTCTAGAAGACAAGTCACATAATGATGTGTGATGGGATGCATTTTATAAATGAAGCACTGAAAGATTAATTTTGCATTCAGAATAAGAAAGGAAACTGGAGAAATGCATTTTATCTGGATCTGAAAGTCAGGAGGAGGTAGCAGAGGAAAGTCCAGTTTGGCCATGATGGGGAAGCCGGTGGGTGACTGGACAAAATAGGAAAAACAGCTCTTTAAGGCCGTGGGACACATCCAATACAAGGCTGCAATCCTGGTGAGAGAGGAAGCACGGGAAGTGAGTCCCACCTTCACAGCAGCTTCCTGGTGTGGGGGGAGAGGGCCTGGGAAGGAGACCGCAGTGTCACTGGGCAGAGGAAATCCTCGCTGAGGTTCTTAAGATGGCTGGATGGGGTGGCCGGGCACTGGTGAGGGGCCACAGAAAGCGGAAGCATAGACGTCTGCGGACATAGCCCCCGAGATCCTTGGCGAGCTCCAACCCATGCACAGGGCCATCTACAGAAAGGACAGCAAAGACAGTTACACGGAACCTAAGTGCCGGGCAGAAACGAAAAGTCACACGATGTGTGGAGAAGTTGGAATTGGTGCCTCGCCCAAGAGTAGAGACCTTGGTGAGTTACCCAGTTGTGACTCTAGCAAGTCCGCTCTGTAGTAAAAGAAAAACCCGATCAAACACTCCTTAACTAAGACTGAAACCAAGTCTTAACAAGACAAAAGTGACTCACTTTTACGTAATTTAACCTCCTGCCAAAATGAAACTCAACACTCTTCGGAGGAAGATAACGTAATACAGACACGCTACAATATAGAGCCCACAGTCTCCAGCTGGCAGCAGAAAACTCACCAGATGTCATGACGCGTAGGAAAATGTGACTTCTAACAAAGAAATGAGTTACCAGAAATAGATCGAGCTTTGGTAGCTTGTATAGTTTTTATGGATTTGCCGATGTTTTCTTCTGCTCTCAAGCCCAGCCAGTTAAGTCTTCATTTCTGGTATTTTGAAATTCAATTCTACATTTTTCAACGTGGTAGAATTTCCTCTTTCTTCCCTTCCTCCCTCTGTTTTCTCCTCCCTCCCTCCCTCCCTTCCTGCCTTCCTTCTTGTTTTTCTTGCTGAAACGTTCCATCTTCTTGCCTAATTTGATCATTCTCCCATTAGGTCTTCAACATATTTGAAAGAGCCATTACCAGTCCTTGTCTGTTAATTCCAAAATCTGAGTGATTTTCTGACTCTGCTTCTATTGTCAAATTTTTCTTTGGATCGTGGGTCACATTTTCCTCCTCCACGTAATACATGGATGTTTTTATTGCATGCTGGAGCAGTAGAAACGGAGGCGGAGAACATTCTCCCCTAGGAAAGTTCCTGTTTGCTCCGCCAGGCAACTGGAATAAGGCTCTGCTGTCTTCAAGCCAAGGAGGAGATGATCTGGGTTGGAGCTGGGCAGCCTCTACTGGCTTCTGTTCACCTCTGGCGTCTCGAGAGTGGGTTCAGACATCACTCCCTCTCCATAAGCACTTCCGTGTCTCCACATCACATGGTCGTGAGCAATTTCTCTATGTTTCAATCCAGCATTCTGCTTTCTGCATCACATTTTATTCAGTGAAAATCCTGCAGTGCAGAATTTTTTGGGTCATCGTGCTTGCTTCGTGTTGTGGATCCTTCTCCTGCAGGGTCATTACTTATTCAGCTATTTTCTCCTGAGCCTGCAACACACCAGTGCCTACTTCGGGCTCCTTCTCCCCAGTGTTTCCAGACTTGGCGGACGGCCTGCGGGGATAAAGTGACTGCTTGCGTCTGCCTACCTGGGAAGGCTTTGTTCCGGTATGGAAGATATTTTAGCCCCTCTCTTCATATCCAATGCTCTTTTAGCTGAAATTTTAAAATTTAACCTATGTTTCTTCAATGTTACAGCAAGACCTGTGACCTCTTTTTATGAGTTTCTACGTCCTCACTAGATGTAGAATTCACCTGGCAGCGTCTTAACTTGGGAATACCCAAGATCCCCAAATTTGTCTTCAACTGTCCCCTAGTAGATACGATGACCATACGTGGAAAGTGAGCTAAAGCTGTATTTTCAGAAATTAAAAATTTCTTTAATGTCTTATTTATTTTTGAGAGAGAGAGAGAGAGAGAGAGAGAGAGAGAGAGAATGAGTGGGGGAGGGGTGGAGAGAAAGAGACACATGCAGAATCTGAAACGGGCTCCAGGCTCTGAGATGTCAGCACAGAGCCTGACGTGGGGCTCGAACTCAGGAACAACGAGATCATGACCCAGGCTGAAGTCGAACGCCCAACCTATTGAGCCACCCAGGTGCCCCGATTTTCAGAACTTTTATCCCCGTGTCCTCATACATAGGATCAGCGGGATTGGGGTTGAAAGCAGGACTGGAACGTATCAGATTTTCTCAGTTTCATCCACCTCCAGGGCCCTCTGCTGCTTGCTTTACAGGTTAACCGTGAGCCATCACTGCGTCGCAGGACGTGAGCACATCAAAATCCCTCACCACCTGCTTATCTTTTAGAGACTGCTCCTAGAACAGGTTAGTGACCAGCAAGGCTGCTTTCTCCCACCAACTGTGGCCAGCTCCCTATGGGCACGGGCAGTTCATGAGGGCGGCCATAGCTTACTCCCAAGCTGCAGAATGTGGATATGGTTTCGTCAGTAGGGCCGAAGTGAGTTATCCCGGAAGTATGTCGGCAGTAGTCGTAAGCAGATCCACAAACCTCCTGCTTTGTCTGATAGACTTTTCCAAAGCCTGGTGGTTTTCCATGAAGACTTTTATTTGTTTATTTTGAGATAGAGAGAGAGCAGGGGAGGGGCAGAGAGAAAGGGAGAGAGAGAATCCCAAGCAGGCTCCCCGCTGTCAGCACAGAGATCAACGTGGGGGCTCAAAACCACCAACCATGAAATCATGACCTGAACCAAAATCAGGGATCAGTCACTCAACTGACGGAGCCCCCCAGGTGCCCCTGGACATCTATATATTCTTAAAGTTTAGAATTATAACATAGGTGAAAATCCAAACATGGTATTCATCAGATAGTGGAAATTGTTTCTCTTACTTATTTATCTGGATCCACTGTCTTTCTGCATTTCTACCTCCATTTACTGAAAAGTTAGTGAAAAAGTGACAGGACAATATCTTAACAACTGACTCAAAGGCTTTCAGTCATGGAACTGCTGTGGATTCGCTGGAGTATCATGCACCCTAAATGACTTTTCTATTTTCTTTTTGTAATGTTTATTTATTTCTGAGACAGAGAGAGACAGAGCATGAGTGGGGGACGGGCAGAGAGAGAGGGAGACACAGAATCCCAAGCAGGCTCCAGGCTCTGAGCTGTCAGCACAGAGCCCGACGCGGGGCTCGAACCCACAGACCGTGAGACCGTGACCTGAGCCGACGCTGGACGCCCAACCGACTGAGCCACCCAGGCGCCCCACCTAAATGACTTTTCTGAGCTTCGATTTCCTCATCACATTAAACAAGAATCAGACGAGAGAGTCTGTGAAAACACATGTGGGCACATACTAGGTGCTCAGCAATGTCAGCCTCATCTGAGTGTCTGTGTTGATTTCAAACGAATTGCTTTGCTTTATGTAGCTTTCAGAAGGATGTCCCCTTCTACCTCTGGATACTAATTGCCTTTTCAGATTACGTATCTCATTAAGCTTTGTATATCTTCATTTCTAGCACTGGCGGTAATTGAGTGTTCAGTCATTGTTATACTCACTATCCTGACAACGTTTATTAAAATGAAGCAATTAAGTATTGTCTTAAATGGAGTTTAGAGGTAGGGCTCATTAGACTCAGGCTCATTACAATTAACTCAAATGATAAATGCAAAATTATGTCATCCCAGCTCAACCCAGGAAATTGGTTCCGCTGTATTTCTCCGAGCTGGCTCTCCTTCCTCACATAACAGCGAAACTAGTTTGGAACATTTTAGTGAAACACGTATTCATTAAAAGGATGTTATTAAAAATGTAAAGCCCCAAATTGGCTCACAGGGGTTCCTGCGCCATTAACATCTGAACCCTGGCGTACCTTCCTTCTCAGGCTGCCACATAATTGGGCTCGGGGGCTCCCTTAAGCGGGAGAAAAGAAGGAAACCGGCCCAGCTTCAAGTGGCCTGAGCGTGAATTCACGTTTGTCTGCGCAGGCAGTGCATCCCCTTTGTACACAGCGGTAGGACCGGCGGGGCAGAAAGACGGCCTTCCTGCAGTGGATTCGCTTCAGGGAACCCGTGGCCCTCCACCTCACCCGGCCACTGTGGAGGACTGCTCCCTTCCCAGGCTGTCCGCCTTAGGCTGAGGAGTTAGACAGTCTTACTCTGTTCAGTTTATTCCGAACAGGTCCTGAGAAAAGGAAATGGAAAGAGAGAGGGGTCCCACCCCTTCCAAGTCAGCTGACAGGAAACTTCCGGAAAGATGTCATTCCAGAGTGACCCTGACCTCAGGGTCAGACGGACTGTGCATCACCCCTGGAGGTGCCAACTGTTTCCTGTGTGATCCTCCAGAGTCACAGCTTCACAGAGCCCCACCTTTGTGGCCTGAAAATGGAAATAATGCGTACTACTGCCGACTCTGGGAGTAGGTGAGATAAAGGAGAACCCTCAGCACAGTCTCCAGCACATATGACAGGGAGGGCAAGTATTTCCTTGGCCCCTGGCTTCTCCGGGCTGTACCAAACATTCCTTATGGTCTGAAAGATACAATATGGATGCTGTGTGCATTGGATGTATTCGAATATCTGGCACATGTAGCCCTTCTATATAATATCTTATTTTTGCCTCTGTCATCTGGATGATTGTGTGCTTTGCTGTTTGATTCAGATGATAAGGCCTCCCCAGTACGGCCCCTGAAGTCTCTCTAATAATCAGATGGCAAATTAAAATATCTTTGCCTCTCAGGGACCCCGATGTGATTGTGAACTGAGAAAAAAAGAAGACCAAAATCTTGCTTTCCAACGGCAACGCTGAATATGAAACAGGCAGGAGAGGTATTTGGGGGTTGGGGGTGGGAGACCGTATCAGCCAACAGAACCACAGCCACAGCACAGTTGAAAATAACCAGGTTTGGTATTTTCTTTCACGTTCAAAGCATCTACCATTCGATAGTCTAGGGTTTTGAATGAAGTGGTTCAATAATGCCATCCGGGTCTCAGGGTCTTTGTTTCTTTCTTCTCTGCTCTTACTCACTGCTTGTCTTTTATCCTGGTGTTTGCTGCCTCGTTGTTACAATGTTCGGTGGAGCCCAGGGAATAAGCCTGTGTTTTAGATCCAAGAGAGGATGAGAAGGCAAGAATGAACCAGTTCTATCTCTCTAAAGAGAGGCAGTCTTTGTCCTCCACCAAGACTCATGAAACGGATAATCCCTGAGCCTCAAAGAGGGAATGATGTTTGGCCAAACATACGAGACCACGTCCACACTGCAGGGCCACGCGGCTCCGAGGAGTGGCGGTCCCCGTGCGATGGTGCCTGTGGCACCTGGTGGT